GGGCACCCCGGGACCAGCACCCTTCCCACAAAGCACCCATCCCAGCCGGGCGCCTGCTGGTTTCCCCCCGCCCGGTGCCAGAGCATCCCACCGTACCGAAGGGAGAAGCTGGAGCTCTTCCGCGGCGTTCAGAGCAGCGTTTCGGAAACAGCTCGGCTTCCCCGAGGCATTTTGGAGCTACGAAAGCTCCACAAATCTCCAACCCTATTGCAAATAGATTTATTTAAACGCATTTTAATTTTTTAATAATAAATAATAACTCCGAGCTGCCTGCAGCTGCTCAGGGGCTGGCTAGCAGGGGGCCGAGCCCCCGCCGCGCTGTGGAAGAGCAGTTCCAGCTCCGGAGCCGTTCCAAAGGATGTGGAGCTTGAGGGCTTTTCTGGAGCAGCTTCCAAGAGGCTGGGGAGAGGTTTCAAGACGTTGAGAGGCCTTTTCAGAGGACGTGCAGAGGAGCTCGAGTGCTTCTGAGCAGCTACGAACATTTTTCGCTGAGTTTTAGAGCAGTTTCGGAGCCGCACGGAGCTGTTTCAGGGTGGCTCATGCCTCTGCGGCGGCGTTCGGAGGGGGTCTGGGGTGGGTTGGAACTGTTTGGAGAAGTTTAGAGACGTTACTGGAAAGTTTTCACGCTGCTGAGGGGTACGTGAGGAAGGTCGGGAGGAATTTCAGGGGCCTTTCGGAGGGTGTCAGAGCACTTGAGGTGTTTCACAGCCACGCAGAGGAGGCTTGGAGTGCTTCAGAGCTGCTACAAGTTGGGTTTTTTTTTTTTTATGATCCACTTTGAGCTGTTTCAAGGAGTTTTTAGAGGAGTTGAGAGGATTTTCAAGAGCTACTTCGAGCCGCTCCAAGCAGTTTTAGCATCTTGGTGCCTTTTAGGGCCGGTTTGAGGAGCCTGAGAGCTATTTGAGCAATTCAAGTGCTTCAGCACTGCCTGAAGATCCGTCCTGCCAGAGCCCCGAGCTGTTCCGAGGCGCTTTGCAGCTCCTTGAAGCCTCCCAGCACCGTGCCAGAACCCCTGGAGCCCTTTATCTACCTGATTTTTAGAGCGGTTTCTGGCTGTTGGAGGTTGAACTTTTCAGAGAAATTGTAAAAAGTTGGGTTTGGGGTTTTTTGGGGGTTTTTTTTAGAGGCATTTAGAGAAATCTGGGTGCATGTTAGAGCAGCTTAGAGGGGTGCGGAGTGGTTGAGAGCGCTACAGAGGTGTTTTCGAGACGCTCAGCGATGTTTCGGAGCAGCTTGGGGCCGCTCGGAGGAGCCCGGAGCAGTGGGAAATCATCAGGGGTGGTTCTGAGAGCTCGGAGCGCGTTGGAGGCATCTCCCAGCACGCAGAGGCACTCGGGAGCTCTTTGCAGCGGCTCCAGGTGCTCCAGGGCTGCTCGGAAGAGTTTAGTGGAAAAGTCTGGAGTCATCCGGCGGCGCGCTCCGGGAGCGGGGAGGGTTATTTTGCCCCTTCGAGCCCTTTGGGGCGGCTGACGGGGGCTGGGAGGCGGCGGGGGGAGGCTTAGCGGGGTGTGGAGCAGCTTAGCAGGGTGGTGCAGAGCATTTAAGGGATTTTTAGAGGGGTTCGGAGCAGCTGAGCGCTCCGAGGGGTTTAGCACAGCACAGGAAAGGGAAAGCCCCCGTGTCCTCACTCAGAGCAGACCCCCGGCTCTGTCTTGGCCTCCCAAAATGCTGCAGAGCAGCAGGACACCCCGGGGAGGGGGACGGGGACAAAGCCACCCCCAAAGGTCCCTCACCCCACCCAGACAGCGAAGGGTGAATCCCCCCCCCGGTTCCCACCGGCAGGGCTTGGCTGGAGGGGAGCTTTTGGCTCCCTGTCACCTTGGCCCCTCCAGAGCCAGCCTCCCCCAACCTCACCCCCCCCAAAGCAGGGCACTTTTTGGGGCAGGGGCATTTCCATGCCCATCCAGCCCCGCCGGGGAGCCGGTGCTCGGATGCTCAGGATGCTCCGGTGCTCGGAGCCGCCCCTGCAGAAAGAAGAACTCCGGGCAGGAATAGTAACAGCTTTTAATCCGACAAGAATCGATACATCATTTAAGACAATACTGTTTTTGCCTCTTTTTTTTGGGGTGGGGTGGGGAGGGCTTCCTTCACATACCGGTGGGGAAAGGGGAACATTTTTGGGAAGTACAAGTTTTGTTTTGTGGTGTTTTTTTTTTTTTTTTTTCCATAGGGACTTTAAAGCATGGTGAATGTGCAAGTCAGTGCTTTGTTTGCTTAAAACTTTTTCCCGGTGCTTATTTACAGTTACAGTACCTCTTTGTGAGCGACAGGAAAAAAAGACGATTGTTTGAACTGGGGAGCCGGGACCCCAAGTCGAGAAAGGCAGATCTCCGATATTTATATATTTATACATATATATATATATGCTTTTGTGTATACACAGATACATTTCTCTCTTCTTTAAAGTATTAAAAAAATGATCAACCTTCATTCTATAAAAATACCTACTCTACAAGATAGAAAAATTTTTTCCCTCTCCAAGTATACACTGATTTACACCCAAAGCTTCTCTGGAAATGTACATTACGTGGCTTCTTCCCACGGACGCGGGGCAGGGAGGGGAGTGGATGCCGGGGAGAGCTGGGCGCTTGGGACGGGTGCCCCCATCGCCCAAGGTTTTTGGGGGGCTCGCCCCCACCCCGCTGCACCTCGCACAAGGCCACGGGGGGTTGAGCACCCAGAGGCGATGAGTTTAAAGAGGGGGTGGAAGAGGGAAGGTGACGGCGGTGGTGGCTCGGCCGGCTCCGGGTCACGGCCAATGCCCCCGGGGCTGGCAGCGCAGGGGACCCGCG